CTATTATTGGGCGGCAAGTTACCTCGAGAGCAAGCCACCAACGCGAAAGCGACGGAGAAGAAAAGACGATCCTTCCTTTTTTTTTTTTTTTTTTTTCCCAGATATTTTCCCGTCGGCCTCCTTTTTTCCTTTTCTCCCCTTTTCTTCTTCGTTGTCAAGCTTCCTACCAATCACCATCCAAGCGGCCAGAAAATCGCCCCAGAAGCCACCCAGCGCCCGCCCGCCAGCCAGAGTCAAGAAAGGCCGGACGAGCAAGCCGAAGCCCAAGGTCGAAAGTCACATGTCTTTGCCGGAGCCGTGGTTCAGAGGTTCGCATGCTTTTTGCTAGAGAAAAGCCTCTCTCGTACTCTGTACGGAGTATATACTGGGAGCTTGCGTCGCTAGTGTCAGGGTAGCCAGTCTACTGTACTCCGTTCGTACCTCGAGACAGAAAGGATAGGATAGCAATCACTGACGAATGCTCGAGCGGCAAAGGATTGACCGCAAAAGGGAAACGGAGGAAGCAAAACGGCCAACTCTGCTGCTCTGAGAACTCCTCTCGCTTGTTGCGCGGCCAGGCTTTCATGGTTCGATATCAACTCGTATCTCGATACTGGAGAGATGAGTCTAGAAAGGCCTTCATGGGCTGCAGCGTTAAGTTATCAAAATATGCAACAAGCCCATCTCCGTACTAATCACTCGATCACAGCTAAAATATGCACGCTCGATTTCAGTACGAGAGGGGAAGCAGCACGCTAGTTAAGTAGTTTTTGTGGCCAGCCAACGACGACAACCAGCTGCTTGCTCCATCATTGCCGATATCAGTGTCTACCCCATCATCCTGCTTTTTACGTGCATACATCAGCCCGGCCTAGATACACTGACTTGCATACATATACTCCGTATGCTTCCAAATCTCTTATGTCCCTCTTGTACTCCGTACGCCGTCCTCCATAGTAGCAGACGTGGAGAACCCAGGTACCAGGTCGCCCCTACAACAGCCAATTAAGGAAGTTCAGGGAAGACTCAGGTAGATGAACAAACCCTATTATTGAGGCTTCCACCATGCCAGACAGAGTCCACAGTCGAGTCTTTTCTTCTTTGCGATTAGTCCAGAAAAGCAGGGAGATCCACCGGCCCACCCTTAGTGACACTAGGGTGCGTGCTAAAGGGTTCCTGAATCAGATGTTACCAAGGCCCGTTGTCGCTCTCCAGGTACGGAGTAGTTCGTGCATCAAGCAGGCAGAGGTGGTGGCTGCCACGCATACCTCCGTATATATATAAGAAAAAAAAAGAAAAAGGGGAAGGCCAACGACGCAACAGTTACGGTAACAGCCCATTCCCCCGGGGTACGGAGCACGCTTTGTCCTATCCAAGTCCTGCCATAAAAATTGGCCAGGAAGGAAACGCAGCAGGGAAGAAGGGGAACCAAAACATTATTAAGAAAAAAACAAAACCGTTGTCGATGAAGCACGCTACAAGCCCCGTCGCTTACGAGGTTGATCAAGGATCTGGCATGGGACTCCATCCATGGATGGGGATATCAACGGGGTCATGTTGAACCTTGAATCGACCCAAGGAACGGCGATGCGTTTAATTTCCCAAGCGGCAAAGACATGGACGTTTGGTCTTCCCCCTTCTGACTGCGAGCTATGCCTATTTCCTACATCCATTTTACTTTTTTTTTTTCGAGTCGAAGTCGCCTCCGCTCGTATACCAACCTCGCTGCACGATCAGGCATTATTATATTTTGCTTCGGCCTATCTACCTCCAAACAGTCGGGATTCCACTCCAACCCAAGTAAGCGGGTCTCCAGGCGATCGATGCCGACTTGTTTCTTATAAACATTACCATCTCTCGCTTTTCTCGCTCTTGTCCCCTTTTTTTACTTTAAGCCTCCTCGTTTGTACTCCTTCGTTTCTCGATCGTGGTGTGGTTGCTCAAAATTCTATTTCTGGCACTAGAACTCAGAGCTCTGGGGGGGAAAGGCCATCGGCATTTTAGAGGGCACCTATTTTATACATATATATATCCCAGGAGCCCACTCGCCCTCCAGAGACCAGAAAGAGTGGCCAGTCGGGATCTCAGCAAGTCTGCTCAAGTCTTCAGCTCACTCCCTTGCTTGCTCTTCTGGTTGCCCCTTGAGCTTCTTTGAACCGTCACAATGAGAAATCCGCCTCCAGAGGTCATTAAAACATGGCCGAAGCCCAACTACGTCAACCCAGAGTACGCTGGGCCGGAGCTGGCCATTATAGGAGTGACCTTCACGACACTATCAATTATCGTCATGTCACTGCGGATGTACGTTCGCCTTCATTTGCGAAAAGCTGCATCATGGGATGATTGGCTTATGGTAGCTGCTATTGTACGTTCCTCTTCTTCTCTCAATCCATGTCCGGTAGCTGGACATTTGGCTAATATATCCACTATAGCCGTTTTTAATGGGCATCTCAGCATCAGCAATTGTCAGTACTAGATATGGATGGGGTAAGTTCTTTCCATCATTGTCAATCGGGTCATCGGCCTAGAAAAATCGCTGACGGCGAGTTCTATTTGGCAGGCTTTCACATCTGGGACTTCAAGTTCAGCGAGTTCAGGGAATCAAGAATAGTAGGATACCACCACCCGACTCCGGATTCTCCTTATTTTACACCTTGTCTGGTTTTTTTGCAATACTCTAACCGTGCTATAGACGAGTTACATATGTCAAGTCTTGTTCATTCCGCTCATGACCCTCGTGAAGCTATCTATTTTGGCCTCCTACCTTCGCTTCTTCACTGAAAAGATATATATCCGGCTAGCATGGCTACAGGTCGGCCTGGTTCTTGCCTGGTTTGTGGCTTTCATGGTTCTCATGCTTATTGCCTGCATGTAAGATTGCGTCCCCGTTTCATCTGATATCTCAAATGAGATCGTGGCCAAAAGAAACGGATCCTAATTCGCGTGATATCTAGCCCACTCTCAAATTACTGGAACTCCTTCTTGCAAAAAGGTTGCATGGAGGAAGAATATAGATTGCTTCCAGGCATTTACTCCAACGCTGTGATGGACGTTATGATACTTGTCACTCCTTGCCCTGCGCTTTGGAAGCTACATCTACCAGTTCGGGACAGAATTGTCCTCATCTTCATGATGTGTTTGGGTTTCATGTATGGCTCTCAAATCTCTGATCCTTTACTTTTCTTTCTCTTGGTACATGACTGACCTGGTATTTTGTACAGTTCTTGTGTAGCAGGGTGCGTCAAGTCGTGGTATATGTACCGGACTCTTGTGGGAACATATGATGTTACCTGTAAGTGAAAGGATCTAAGCTCCCAGGCCCTTTGTTTTAAAGGCTTGCTTTCAGAAGGCTGACTTGATATTCAATTTTAGGGGAAGGATACAATGTCTGGGTATGGACCGACCTCGAAATCAACCTTGCTGTGATCTGCACGTCTATACCCGTTCTTCGGCCGTTTGCACAAAAATATTTCCCCAACCTGGGCTTCAAGAGCAGTAGCGCGGGGTCGCGATACGGCAACCGATGGGGCAGCAGCAACCCTTCCAACGGACTGGGCTCTGGGGGAATCTACAAGCAGCAGACCATCCACCAGTTCGTCAGGTCCCGACAGACCGAGGACGAAGACGACGGAGGCTCAACCATTGCACTGAGCCCTGCGGAGTTCCCTTCAACAAAGACATATCCAACCTCGCCTCGGTCCTACGACAGCAGAGCCAACGACGTGCGCAACCCGTCCCGGAGTGGCTTCCGCAACGAACCCGCTTATAACGACTATCAAAAGGATCGATATAACAACTACGTTTGATGCCCCGGGGGTTCATATCTTATATAAATTCTTTTCTTTGGTTTGATTTATGGAGGTATCCTTTTAAACGGCTTTGGATATGTGTTTCCTTTCGGCGTTTTGTCGTTTACTTTTCTCCTTTGTCTCCTACTCTTCTACTGCTTCAATCAGCTTTGGCCTTTTAAAAATACCATACATACCCCTTGGAGGGAGGTCTATTTCTGATACCCAGCTTTTTCACCCGGCCTATATACTTTTACTTTTTTTTTTTTCTTTTATTTTTTCTTCTGACTCTCTTCTTGCTGTATAATTTTTAAAGTATAGCTATATAGTTGGCTGGCCACGGAACGATTTCTCCTTTGGCCACCCTAGAGCCGAAGACAAATACCTACCTACCTACCTAACCTAACCTACCTACACTTTTCTTCTCCGTCCGATCAAAACCTCAATCTTCTCTCCGCATTTCCAATAACCAAGCTTCTCTCGAACGTCCCCTTCCTGCTATTGCCTGACCCATGGCTCTTCAACGATCTAGTGATCCTCTAGTCTGGATCGACTGTGAGGTTTGACCCCCGTTCCACCCAGCTTCTTCGTATAGGAAGTCTATCTGGCGCTGGTCAGCTAGTTAACCAATGAGGCCGGCAACACGCAGATGACGGGTCTCGATCCGGCAAATGACCACATACTGCAGATATGCTGCTTCATCACAGATGCGCAGCTCAACCTGCTCGAACCTGAAGGCTTCGAGGCCGTCGTCCACCAGCCGCAGGACGTCCTCGACCGCATGAATGCCTGGTGCATCGACACCCACGGCCGCTCTGGCCTGACTGCCGCAGTGCTCTCGTCCTCCACGACGGCCGAAGAGGCAGCCTGCGACCTGCTGGCCTACATCAAGCAGTATGTGCCCACGCAACGCACCGCGCTGCTGGCTGGGAACAGCGTGCACGCCGACCGGGCTTTTCTTGCCAAACCGCCGTACGCACAGGTGCTGGACTGGCTGCACTACCGCATCCTGGACGTGAGCAGCGTGAAGGAGGCCGCTCGACGATGGGCCAGCGACGAGGTGCTGGGGGATGCGCCGGCGAAGAAGGGCGTCCATCTGGCGCGGGAGGACATCCTGGAGAGCATCGAGGAGATGAAGTACTACCGCCAGAAGCTGTTCCTCTCGTAGCTAGCCTCTCTCTCTCTCTCTCGCTCTCTGTCTCGTCCACGTCTGCCGTCGATATTGCTCGTGCATTAATTAATTATCATAACTAGTTGATTGGGGTGGCGGGAAAAAGGAGGTTGAGGTTGCGGCCAGCAGAAACAAAGTGGGAAGCACAACGTGATGATGCCCCGCGATGCCTGACGACGTCCAGGGTTTCGACTCGTTCTATTTCTCTCTCTCTTCTTCTTCTTCTTCTTCTTCTTCTCCTGCTTCAGCTTCTTTCTTCCTTCTTCACCTCCGTCATCTGCCATCTTCTTCTCTTCTCTTCTCTTCAGCTTCAGTGATCCTGGAGCATCTTAATTGGAGCGTTTGCCAGAAGATAAACAGCGAGAACCGAAGCTCTGCTTAGCTAGCTAGCTACCAGCTATCATGGCCGTCAAGACCGTGGACATCACCCCCTTCCCTGACCAAAAGGCCGGCACGTAAGTACAGCGAGCTACGCAGAACCAGGAAGCCCTTCATTTTGCCTGCTACATAGTGATTGCTAATGTCGAGCTATAGATCTGGTCTCCGGAAGAAGGTCACCACTTTCCAGCAGCAGCACTACACCGAGGCCTTCGTGGCCAGCATCCTGCTCTCGATCCCTGAGGGGGCCCAGGACGCATTCCTCGTTATCGGTGGTGACGGCAGATTCTACAACACCGAAGCCATCCAGCTCATTGCTCGCATTGGAGCTGCATACGGCGTCAAGAAGCTGTTGATCGGGCAAAATGGCATCCTGAGCACCCCTGCAGCTAGCCATGTCATTCGTAAGAGACAGGCAACTGGGGGGATCCTGTTGACTGCAAGTCATAATCCTGGAGGTAACTAAAAACAAAACAATTGCGTGATTCTCGGATCGCTTTTCGTATCTAGACATTGAACTGACAGGGAGTGTCCCTCTCACCGCAACCAACAGGCCCAAACGCTGATTTTGGTATCAAATACAATCTCTCAAACGGAGCTCCCGCCCCGGAATCTGTGACAAACAAAATCTATGAAGTATCAAAGTCTTTAACCTCATACAAGATCGAAGACCTTTCGGAGGTTAAACTCTCGGAAATTGGCACCCAGCAATATGGGTCCTTGGAGGTCGAAATCATTGACTCGACCGCTGATTACGTCGAGATGTTGAAGGACATTTTCGACTTCGACTTGATCAAGTCTTTCTTGCAGAGCCGCCCGGATTTCAAGGTCTTGTTTGATGGCCTCCACGGCGTCACCGGACCATACGGAGTTGCCATCTTCCAGAAAGAACTTGGCCTGCCCGCTTCCAGCACCCAGAACTGCGTTCCAAGCCCCGATTTCAATGGTGGCCACCCAGATCCCAACCTCACCTACGCCAAATCGCTGGTGGATGCAGTCGACAAGGATGGCATTCAGTTCGGAGCGGCCAGCGACGGCGATGGTGACCGCAACATGATCTACGGTGCCAACGCGTTTGTTTCTCCAGGCGACAGTCTTGCCATCATCGCCCATCATGCTAAACTTATCCCGTACTTCCAGAAGCAAGGCGTCTACGGCCTGGCCCGCTCCATGCCGACCTCCGGCGCTGTCGATCGAGTTGCCAAGGCACAGAATCTCCAATGCTACGAAGTTCCGACTGGTTGGAAGTTCTTCTGCGCTCTGTTTGACAATAAGAAGATGTCAATCTGTGGAGAGGAGAGTTTCGGTACTGGCAGCAACCATATTAGAGAGAAGGATGGCCTCTGGGCCATCGTTGCCTGGCTCAACATCATTGCTGGCTACGCAAAGACTCACCCTGACAAGCCATTGAGCATTGCTGCCATCCAGCAGGACTTCTGGAGCATCTATGGACGCACTTTCTTCACCAGATACGATTATGAAGATGTTGATAGCAATGGAGCAAAGAAGGTCATCGATGACCTGGCTGCACTTGTCAACCAGAAAGATACCTTTGTTGGCTCCACTGTCTCCGGCCGAAAGGTCACTGGAGCAGGCAACTTCAGCTATACCGATCTGGATGGCAGTGTGAGCAAGAACCAGGGATTATTCGTCACCTTTGATGATGGCAGCCGCATCGTTGTCAGACTTTCTGGAACTGGCAGCAGTGGTGCTACCATTCGTCTCTACATTGAGCGCCACGAGAGTGACTCAAAGGAGAGCCTTAAGGATGCTCAGGACTACCTAAAGGATAACGTCGCCCTCGCTGTTAAGCTTCTCAAATTGAAGGAGTACATTGGCCGGGAGGAGCCCGATGTCAAGACCTAAGCAGATTCAATAATCCTGCTCTACTTTCCACGAGGCATATACATACCCCTTGCAAAGTGAGGAGGGTAAAAAACTGGAGATTACTTTATGGACACGAAGCATACAGCATTTCCACTCGTTAACCCATTCGTTTTCATGATCTAATGACCTGTGATGAAACAGGAATAACCCGAAAAAAAGCCACGAGAATGAACGTCAACACTAATTGCACAGTCTAATTAGCACATAGCCTAAATACTTAAATAAACAGAATAATATATATGTGCATTAACCATAGAACTGGAGTTTCTAGTACGTACAAGAAAACATGGGAATCATCATCATCTATCTAAACCCTATGGCATTTGCGATGTCTTCCTCGCCCACCAGTCCTTTCAATTTACCACGAGCCCTTCCCTTCGTGCTTCCTCGGCCGCAAAGACAACAGCATGGCTTCGAATGGCTTCTTCCAAGGTACATCCTAGAATCTCGACCTGAGCCTTCTTTACATCCCACCCCTTGTTATCTACGGAGTCCACCGCCCTGACAAAGGCCCTTGTGAGCCCATAATCCCCACCCCCATGGGACTCTGCTTCTTCTGGGGGCGGTGGAGCTATGGAATGCTTCTTCGTCTCTCCCGTCCCGAAAGTGAAGATGCTGATCGTCTCACCATCATATGTTATTTCACCCAGGGTGCCAGATATACGACCACGGCGTACACACTGGGATTCGGTGGGAGCCACCATGTGCAGTGTAGCGAGCTTGGAACCCCTGCTGCCAAGTGGTGATTGCGTGTTTGATTCTGATCCAATATCAAGGCCGTGTGGTATGGGGTCGTTTCCCCAGGACATGGTGACGAATTGGTCATCGCATACGCTGTTATCAGACTCGTACACGCATCGCCCGTACCATGGACGCGAGGCAATGTCCTCATCACGCATAGTCTTGACGTCGTAGTCTTGCGCTAGGATGCCGAGGAGGTTTTTCTTTGCTGTTTCCATGCCATGTTTGGAGAGAACGTCTTCGATTTCCGGGTATACGTTATGCGCTGGGAAGCCTGTACTGCCTTTCGCCAGACATAGGTCATTATATATCTTGACAGAGCTATATATGCAATTCCGTTCAATGGGGCAGGAAAGGCAGTTTGTGCTATCTCCAGCTGCAACGGGCTTGTTCGCCTTTGTAAATTGGGCAAGCATCCCCGTAGAGGTGATGGTTCGTGGTAGATGCTCGGGGTAATCCACTGGTGCCCCTGGCGGAGGTGAGCAGAGCAGCCACAGTATGAAGTCGATGTCATGGCAGCATTTGGTCAATAAGCTGCCATCTCCAATGTCTGTCTCTCTCCTCCAATTCCCGCGAACATAGCTATGAGCAAAGTGAGACCACCCCACTGGCTCTGTATGCTCCAGAGATATAATGTCTCCTATCACCCTGTCTGTAAGGAGGAGTTTGCGAAGCAGCTGGTTGTGTGGGCTGTATCGAAGTACATGGCCAATCGAGAATATCTTTGAAGGCAACGGTGATGTTGGAGATGCATCTGTAATAGCCTTGGAGGCTAGAAGAATGTCCTTCAGAGACAGAGCCAGTGGCTTCTCGCACATTATATGTAGATTCAAGGGCGCGATTGCCTGGACTATCTCCAGGTGTGAGTCGTCCAGAGTGCAGATGAAGACGCCGTCAACTCCAATATCAGTCGACGAGGATGAACCATCCAGCTTGCTGCGTCTGTTTTTCTCCCAGTCCAGCCAGCTCTTCCAGTCCTGGAATTCTTGACCTGTAACCGGCTGCTTTTCCCCCCAGACGTACTTTCGTCCAAAGCGTTGGCGGGTCTCATTGTTAGGCTCTGCAACGGCGTAGATAATCCCGTCGGTGGCATTGGCTACGGCTTTTCCATAGGCAGTTCCTCTTTGCCCAGCGCCAATAACCAAGAATCGCAGTGGCCCTGGTTGTCTCGCCATGGCTGGTGTAGTTGGTATCTTCAAGTGGGTGTTGCAGGTCGTTGGTTATGATGGCTAGATGGCCAGTGGGCGGGGGGTTAAACTACTCGGTTTTTTATATAACTAGTTAGCCAGCTGGATAGCTGTGCGGGGATCTGTCATGCATGCAGTTGCTATCATCCTCTCGTTCATTTGCTCGTATTTCTCCTCAATCCACCATGGCTTTGATAATGGGGGGAATATATGGATGACAGTGTTACATACGAACGTTTGCTTATGAAAGGCCGCTAACTAACTAGTTAACTAGTTAACTATTAGTCGGCTATTTTGATAGCTGCTGGAACACGCCTCTACGTAACAATTCTCCACACACTTAGGATACTGTTATTTCAAATCCTGTTTACCGATTCGCCAGTTAACTAAGGCGTGGGTAACCAAATATAACGGCCGAATATCCTTGCGGCTTCTAACATTCGAATGCGCTTAAAAACTAACTATTCTGCAGTCAAGCTACCAAGCATGCTAGAAACCATCAACAAAAAATGCCCCAACAATATGTGAAAGTAGTTACTCCATCAAATGCATGCAATGAAAGGAAGATATAGTGAGCGACGAATCCACCGAAAAAGAAGAAGATGGAAACATATGCTCCTGGAAATGCAGACAATCAAATAGAGAAAAGAGCGCCAACAAATGCATCAAAAAATAAGGGAACCAGACAAAGGAGCGTGATTAGGTATTATCCGATCCATCAATGGGAGTGAATAATGAATAAAAAAGGAGATGAAATTTTTTGAACGCCGGTTGACATGCAACAAACTCGCAGGGTCTTGTTCAGAAAAGAAATATTAAGTGGTAGTAAGGGATGGATTCTCTCACTTATGCCATCGTTTTGCAGCAGCGATCTTTGCAGCTCTAGTTCTACTAGAGCCTCCGCCTTCGCGACGATGCCATGCATCGTGTGGCCAGACCCATCCTCGAATTCGCTTTGCCTCGCGCTTTTCCCGCTGCTGCGGCTCGGGAATCCAGCTATCCTTATCCTCTGGCAGGGTGCGTTGACGAGTTAGGGCTCCTGGGCCACCAACATTTAGATGCCATGATGGCTGAGTTGGTAGAGGCACGGA